GCTATCTGGGGATATATACATATATGTAATAATTATGAACAGTACAGAAGCTCATTGGAACATATTTTCAGAATATCATTAGTATATTCGCAAAGTATTCCATGAATGTTCACAATATTCTGAAAATATTATTTAATGAACATTCTGGAATATTATATCCCAGGAGCTTCTAGGAATGTACTTTCATGTAATACTATCAGAATATTCGCATGGAACATTCCATAAATATTCGCAACATACTGAGAACTTTCTATGCATATTCTTCAGAATATTATTCTAGAAGATGACATTTTCGCAGCTTGTAAGAATATTCTGAGAATATTCGTGCTATCTGGGGATATATACATAATTCAATTTGAATAAATTGATTTGAGGTGTGTCACGATTCTAGGGATCACCCTGTAACATGGTATCAACTAGGAAAGCAGTTGTCTAATGTATCATTTCACAACAATGACTTATTTGTTTTTGTTTTGCTGCAATTTCTCGCGCCCAGCGAGCAGCGAGCGACGCGCAATATCATTTCACAATGACTTATTTATTTTTGTTTCGCTGCAATTTCTCGCGCCCAGCGACCTGCGCACCAGGCGCAATATTCTCGCACTGGTGCTATGGCTAGACTCTAGTTGAAAACTATGCATAGATCTCCAAACTGAAGATGACAATTGGCATACGACGAATATTTATAATGTCATCTGTTAAACCATTTTGTGTTTCTGAAACATTCCTGAAACAAACTGTGAAATATGAAACATTTCCTCCGGAACATTTATGAGACATTCTAGAGACCATAAATGGCATAAATGTCCTTGGGTGTGTAATGTTTCAGTTTCAACCCAAATCTCCTTATACATAAATATCTGAGATATTTCACTATTGGAAACGTTTCACAAATAGTGTCTTTGAAACATTTCCTCATTACACTATTTGCAACATAAATCCAACATGACTTTTCAGAATCATTTCCGATACATCTCACTTTTGCTGCATTTTTAGGGAAGTGTCTATTCGCACGCAATGCGTGCATATACGTACGAATACGTACAAATAGTGATATGGCACTTTATCCGTACGTTTACGTGCGAATAACCACCAAGAATGCTATCCGTACGTAAATTGACAACTATATTTGCCGGATAGGCTTTCCCATATCTATCCGCACGTATACGTTCAGATAGGCTTTGGCATATTTATACGTACGTATACGTACAGATAGGCTTTGACATATATTATCCGTATGTATACTTACGGATAGATATGCAAAAGCCTATCTGTACGTATTCGTACGTTATGTCAAAGCCTATCCGTACGTATACGTACGTATAAATATGCCAAAGCCTATCCGCACGTATACATCCGAATGTGTGCATTGCGTGTGGATAGTGTAAAGATACTTTATCCATACGCCCCCCTGCGAATAATTACCAAGAATGCTAATTGTACGTAACGGTTTGTAAAATATTGATTACTGTGATCAATTACGTATATTTGATGCATGTAATTATATCCAATTCAAATTTTGAATACGTACAGCATAATGATAAACACATGCAATTTGAAAATAAGTTATATCACAATGAGTTAGGCACAGAGGAAAATGTGCTAGAAATATAGGAAGAAGTTCTTACATTTATAGGAAGAAGTTCCTACATTTATTCAGATCAATGTGATCCACAGAACAATCGATCAAATTTGAATTGCTATAATGCTTTCATATCTTTACAAAAACTCCTGATGTGAAAGTGAGATATGAAAATAACACCTGATATAAAAGTAAACCATATACCACAGTACCTACATTGCCTAAACAATGTTGAACATAGTTTCCTGAGAAATTTCACTAAGCATAATGAATTACATATCATATTCATCGAATTTTGCATGAGTAGATGTAAAGAATGTTTGAGTTGGTAAATATATTTGAACATGTTCATGAGAGTGAAAGATAATTTTGATAACAAATGATATATTTTTTTTGAATTGAAACGTTTACGTAAAATCACGGATGAGCAAAAAATACACTACACGTAGTTACTGTTACTGCCAGTCATATTCGTACGTAAACGTGCGGATAGGCAAACAATACACTACACGTACGTATAGGTACTGCTAGCCATATTCGTACGTGAACGTGCGGATAGGCATTGGCATATTATACGTACGCATACGTACATATAGGTACCTCGAAACCTATTCGAACGTAAACGTACGAATAGGATTTTAGCATATTAGAGAGTTGAAGTAATCACTGTACGTAGACCTCCACGTAGACGTTAACGGACGAAAAATAACGTTTACGTATTGTCGTCAAATTGAGTTGAAGTCGCTACTTTTTTCGTCACTGTCATCATAACGTAATAATACATTTTGTTTTCGGTTTGTATTGGTCATTTTTGGTTGTGTGTTTAGATTCGAACATTTATTCCTGTCAAAATTAGAGGACTCCTTGATGCAGAACTCGTTGGTGATCTCGAATTTGATAATTTTGACTCATCGGCATCTTTTGAGTATAGTTTGGTTAACGTACGTTGATATTTAAGGTATACGTGAAGGAACGTGAGATAACGTACACCCGTAAGCCCACTAACAACGCAAACGTGAAGAATTGGAAAATGCGCATGCGTAGCTGTCAATTTCTACGTTTACGTTAACGTTCATGACAACACTTCAACTCTCTATTATTCGTACGTAAACTTACTAATAGATGCAGCCCATTTTAGTTTATACCAAGACTACATTACCACAGTAGTCAATTATTGAGATCATCAGTTAGTCATAATGAAATTGAACCCTAATTAACATCGTGTGTAATGTAGTCAATTGGTATATAAATATAGGTGAACGGAAAAACTATAATAAGAACCCATTTATTCAATATTCTCCTTTTCTCTGGCTAACCTGAGACCTGTTATTGACGAAACCAAGCTGCTAACATATTTTTCAAATTTCATAGCCGTAACAGAGAGGAAACCTGTTTCTGACAGCACCTGGAAAAAATGTTAAGCTTCAATTGATGGAGGAAATATATAACTTGGGATACCTATAATTCATTTTCTCATTTCCTAACTATAGAAAAAAGACCAACGACGTCAATATAATATTGGAAATTGAAATGAAATTTAGGAACATAATATATGTAACTGGAAAAATTTGATTTTTCAAAAGGTAAACCTATACTTACCTTTTTTCATATTCATAGGTGTCATTATGAATATAAAGAGTGAGATTGGGAAGATATTAGGAATTTATAGTATAATAAATATAGTTCGTTGGCATATGTATGCATGTGTAAATAACAATTGCCCATCGAACTTACGAGAGGTCCTTCAGCCTATGTGTGTTCTATGTGGGCTTTGTTACTAACTCCATATGCCACCTTAGGAGCAGATGAACCTTTTAATCGGAACAGCGAATCATGTGGAATGATCTCCGGCCTAGGCAACGAAAATTAAAGTTTCTCTCGTTTTATAAATGAAAACTCTGCTCTGCCAGGGATTCGAACCTATATAGCGACCTTTCCATGTTTTGTGTACTAGTCGAGCGCCTCAACCACCGCTATTTCACCGTCCTCTTTCTTATAATCATCTATACGTATTGAATTTCCACCTTTATTTTCAGTTTTTACTGCTTTACATTTCATGCATGATGGTAGCTATACATGAACTTATCAAAAACCTGATGTGCATGGGTTATTCAGACAGACTCAACAGTTCATCTCAACCCAATGTGCCGATCACTTCATGAGGATGATGATATTACTGTCAATATAATCATGTTGTGAAGTTCCCTCAGACAGCACTGATGAAATTTTCAACACGAAAAAAAAAATTAATTTTTTGGAAGACGATCAAGTACTGAACATTATTTGACAAGAATACATTACCATTACCTAGCTTCTTTTCAACTTCTCGAGATTCGCGCATTTTTAGCCACAGAACATCAACGTATACTGTGACCAACATTCACCAGATGCATTTATTACCATGTCTCCAGATTTTTCTCGAACCATACATCGATGCTGAATAAGCTTATAGAATTTATCGTTCAAAATGTCGTTGGTCAAAGTATCGTTGAGGTAACGATATCGTATTTTAACGGTAAGTTACTGAATAGACCCCTTGTATCGTTCAGTATCGATACCAACTTAAAATGTATCGATACTTCGATTCTCGTCGGTATCGATACCCGGCCTAGCTGGTATCGATATATCGATACTTACCGACCTCTAATTGGGCCACCTCTTTCCAAGATGTAGGGATGCCGATGTCAAAGAATAATATAGGTTAGTCCTCTTTGCCGATGTTTTCAAAAATTACAATCGAAACCTTGAAAAATCGATTGAAAAAAGATCCAGGCGAAAATCAATCGATTCACCTCACAAACCGCGCCAAATTTCGAAAACATACTGTTTTTCTTCAGATATTAGATATCATAAGTAGAGATAACTTGAATATTATCATGAATGCAACGAAAAAGTATAGAATTTTATGAAAAATGATAAAAATAACAATCCCAATAAGAAACATCCATCACAACCATTTGAGAAGTTCGAGATCGATCTTTGTATTATTTTTTCTTACTTTTGAATAGCGCAAAAACACATAGTAGAAGCTGACATCCACTATAGTGAGAAGCACCCAGTATAACATCAATAAATAGAATCCATATCAATCAATGGCATTCCTATCAGGTACCATTATCATTGTATTTATATTACTATCAGTTACTTGTTGAAATTCAAAATTGGTTATTTCATGAGGATCATGAAAATGATGATTGAATAAAATGACATCAATGAAAGAAACAGAACTTATAATATATACCTATAATCTTGCTTATAATCAGATCACTGACAGATGTATCACCCACTTATTAGAACTAGTTTAGAGTATCTACATGCTTGTCTGAACATATTTGAATGTGGAGACAATTATAGGTAAATACCTGGAATAGAAAACAATATATTTACATTATGCTCTACTAATAATTGAGAAGATATTTCAATGTGGCTTTGGGGTATGTCCATCTACATAAAAATTTCTAGTTGCTTTGGGAAGCTGAATTTCCATTCCTTCTAGATCTTTAGTGAGCTTTATCTGACAACCTAATCTTGAGTTTTCTTTCAAAAATGGGGCCATGTCTAAAAGATCTTCTTCAGTCTCAGTGGCTTCAGGTAAGGCATCCAAATGTTTTCCATTAACATAAACATGACAGGTGGTGCATGCTAGAGAAGCTTCACAAGCTCCTTCCATTGGGATTTGATAACGATGTGCTAAGTAAAGTAGATTATCACCTACTTTTCCTGTTAAAGAGATGCGTTCTCCATCTTTATTGATAACAGTGACACTGACGCTATAAATTAAGTCTTTTTATTAGGCATCCATAAAATAAGTCCACAATGCATGTAATATGAAGGTAACAACTTACATTTCTTCTTTTGATTTAGGGTCTTGCCATTCGTATTCCCCATGATAACTAACTGGAAATTAAGAAAAACAATTATTATACTATTCATGAAATGAATAATGAAAATAGAGACCAGGTGAAATATGAACAAATCTGCTTTTCATAATAGGGCACGTCATTCTGCTCAAGATTTTTGATATTTTCGATAAGTCCGTGAAAAAACTTATTGTGCTCGCCATTATTGTCTCAAATCTCAGGTAATTCGTAGAAATAACATTTTATGAAATTACAGCAAAACTTCTGAATACAAATTATTTAGGTTAATATCTGTGATTTGATTAAAAAAACTGATTATTTTTTGATACTGTCTACACGACCGCCGCGGCGGTTGGATTCTGATTCATAAACGACCGCCGCGGCGGTTGGATACTGATACATAAACAACCGCCGCGATGATATTTCTTCGTTCTTCATAGAGAGTACTTCCGAGCAAAGCGATAGCTCAGTTGAAAATTCACCTGACCACCACGCCTGTGGCTCGGGTTCAATCCCTACTAGGCCTTATTTTTTCAAAACTTTTTTTCACAAATAATTTCTCGAAAAATATACTTCTCAGGAGAAAGGTTCATTTAGGTGAGTTAGGTCAGTTTGTTTGAAAAAAGTAGTCTTCTTTTTGATGCAGAAACGATATTTTCCTTCCTCATGTCTCACGGCGGTCTTCTATATAAAAATAGGTGACCGCCGGCGGTTGTTTATGTTTCAGTATCCAACCGCCGCGGCGGTCGTGTAGACAGTGCCTCATTTTTTCCTTTTCATTTTCCATTCACATATTCACATCAGCTTGCCTTGCCTTTTCGCCAGTTAGCCAGACACAAGGATTATCTCTGTATACTCTCCTTGAGCCAGACACGCCTTTAGACTACTAATTTTAGAAAAAATAATAGAAGGTAGGTATCCCTAATAGGCGGGTGGACTATTTATTTTTTATTTTTTAACACGTCAACTGCCAAGAAGCCCAAACGTTGGGTTTCACATGCTTGCTTGGTTAAATCGGCTCCGAAACCCTAACGCAGGCTCTCACGATACATTTGCACTTCATTTGATGAAGTTCCAAGAGTGGGTTTCTGAAAGCATTAAAGCATATAGATTGAGCGATATTACGAGGGGCCCGGTAGACCTAAATAGAGAATGAGCCTACGTGTTTTTGTTTTTATTTTGCGGATATGAAAGTAAGAAAATTATAGTATCAAAAAGTTGATCTATTCAAGTATTCGATAAACGAACACACATACAAATAGACATAATAAAATAAGCTTTCTGATAGTTTCAATGGAATATAATAATTCATCCACATTTTGTCACGCTTCGTCCTTTAAAAAAATGGCAAACAAAAAAACGCTCACACTGTTGACATTTGTATCTTGATTTTGGCATCCTCAGTTGGACTACTTTTCTTCCTTCTATCTGTTATTCATCAAGTGTAAACAATCATTACCTTGACTGTTTGCATGAAACCCTCATATGGGTTTTGTGGCTAGACTACTTCAGGTTCCAAAACCCAAACGTTGGGTTTCATTTTCAAATTTATTAATTCCTTTTGTATGATAAGTATCATACATGGATAACATGAGTACAACCAAATAATCGATTTACATTAAGTTTCCTGTTTGGCCCCATGAACCAAAACTTTAAATGTATTGTGGGCAGTTAACGTGTTGAATAGAATCATCACTCAAATACATTTTAATTTCAATATTTGTAATTCTCGTTTTTATTTTCCAAGCGAAAATCAAAATACCTAGACGTTTCTGACTAGGACATTCTTAAAGCACTTTTTCACAAGAAATCTGAATCTGTCATCGTATTTTCCATGACGTGCTTGATGCCAAAGTTACATCGCTCAACATTGTTTTTTCTTTGCTTAAAATGAACTTCATTCTTGTTGAAAATCACTATCATTCTGTGCTCGTCAAACAATTTAATATTTTTTCACGGCTATAACACGAAATCGCTCTTGTTTCACTGTTTTTGATAAATCAATGAGGTATGCACAGGGTGATTGTTTATATTTTACTTAATTGCTATCTCAGTTCATTATGGTTTTACAGAAACGTTTTAATGGGCAAAAATGAAGTATTTGTTATGGGCATTCAGAGTCTATCACTAAAAAAGACAAAAAAGCATCGCCAACCTGAAAATTTTTCATAAACTGGTATTTTTTAAAAGAAACCCTGTACTTCATTTTTCTAAACGGTAGAGGTCTTTCTTCTGATTTCAAACATATATACTTTATTGAGATATTTCGCCAGTTTATAAAAAATATAGTTTTTTTGTATAAATCTAAGGCAGGTGTAGAGTGTCAGAAGACAATGCTGCGATTTCTGGCGTTCTACAGATGCCTCAGAGTCTATATTTTTCTAAAACCGACAAAGATAACCTCAATACAGTATATATATTTGAAATCAGAAGAAATAAGAGCTCTTTCAATTAGGAAAATGAAATACAGGGTGTACCATTTAAAAAATACTACTTTATGTAAAAATTTTAGGTATATGATGCATTTCTGCTATTTTTAGTTCTAGTTTCTGTATGATCATGGAAAATACTATATTTTCGCCTATTTGAACGTTCCAGTGAGACCAATATTAACTATTGAGTAAAATTCAAACAATCACCCTGTACATTCATTGTATGTCTTCAATTTCATTCCATCATCTGATTGACAATTCGCGGTAGTCAAGGTCATCATCTGACGTTGCAATGACATGAAAACTACGGAAAAACATTCGTAACTCTTGACTTAGATTGAAAGTTAGACATATCCCAACGTCAGATGATGACCTTGGCTACCTCGAATAGGTGTAACGTCCTATAAATTGACAAATGTCAAGCAATGACAGCTCTGTCTGATAGAGCATTACTCGAGGAAAAATCAGATGGCTACAAGCCGAAAAATTGAAAAAATGAAAAATTATCTATTACAGCCGTAGGAAAAGTATAGTGTATAACTCCCACGGAATGCTAATTTGCAGCATTCGCCATCATTCTCATGGAAAATTACTATCATTGGGTGTTTGTTGAATCGTTAGCATATGATGAGGAGTATGAAGTTCAGGTCAGTAATGAAAAATGAAAACTATTGTTACCTGACTTTGGGAACCTTTAACCACTCCACGTCCCCAAAGAGTGAAGCTATTTTCTCAGCATTATGCCCTTCTTGAGCAAAGTCCAATTCTCTGGGAATATTTTTCTTGGATTCGTCTACCAACCATTGGAATTTGAATTCAGGAAACACCCAACTCATCATTTTCACCAAGTATTCCATAGTCTTCATGTCAACTCTTGAATTACCCTGTACATAGGGATGCTGCACTTTTATAGCTACTGTGGAACCGTCTTTTAGTTTTGCTTTATGAACTTGGGCTAGTGAAGCAGTTCCCAAAGGCTCAGTTTCGATACTCTCAAATATTTCAAAAGGCTGGAACATGACAAAATGTAAACTGAAAGCATTATGATAGTTATTTATGTATCAAGGGCGTGAACTACGGGTTTATGGACCGAAGGTACGTGTAGGCAATAGCATCGAACACCAACTTGGGAGTTCGTGTTCGAGGGTAATAGATAGAACGGAGCGAGGTGTACGCACTGATGTTTTCATGCACAAACTGGCACTCCACCAGATATAAGTGAGAAATCAATTGAATTACACACATTCAGTTTAACGCTTGCTGCACCACTTTATCGACCTAGGGCGCTCAAATTCAGATAATCCAGAACCGCGTTGGTGCCCAGAGTGTAACTCCATGAGTACAATCACACTATAACATTCGAGTAGCGTATCATAATTTTCTTCGACATCTTTTTCTCTTGGATGCAGTATTTTCTGTCTGCAAACTACGTCAGCAGATAGAACAATGTATAGGAGGGGTGTTGCGAAATTCAACCGAGAATGCTTCACAGGTGATAGCCCTCGTGATATGATGAATTGTTTTGTATGTATAACGAGTGAATACACTGCGACCTGAAAGATCTATTGTGCCCCCTTCTTTTTCTATAATCGATGAGATCGTGGGTTCGATTCCCAGCCACAGCAAGAAACTTTTTTCTATATTTAATTTACGAATTAAATAATGTGAAATTTCGGAGCATCAGTTGCGTTCCAATTAACAGTGCTGCTCATGAAGTGGCACATGGAGTTAGTAACGAAGCCTACACATGACACACAGAATTTTAATATTAATATTTTAAAACAAAAGTTTTCAAAACATTCTGATTATCATAGATATTCTACCAGGAATGCTCATGATTTTGATATCACTAGACACAATCTATCTCGTACTGAAAAATCCCCGGACTATTTGGGGATGAAACTCTACAATCATTTACCTCAAGAAATCAGAGAAATGAATTTTACCAAGTTCAAATCGTCCATAAAGCGCATATTGACTCAGGGCGCTTATTATAACATAAATGAGTACTATGAATCTAGCTTGCTATAACGGCATAGTGTATTAAATTGGTAGTGATGTGTACACTCCAAATTGTCATTTGGTGTTCTTTTTCTCAAATTGTCATTTCTATTTACCTCATATGTAGATTTTATTCTATTCACTATATGTGTAAATGTTTTTCGTTTTATCCTAGGTGTAAATCTTAAATTGTAATTGTAATTCTCATTATCTTATGTGTAAATCATAATTTTAAACGTCTTTGCCTATGCTGCATACTTTTTTTATAACTGACGTGTATATCCATTTTCGGATGGCTGCTGTATGCTAATATGAAAAAACATTGTTATTATTATTATTATTATGACGTGTTTGTGAGCGTCAGAGAAGAAGTAGGACGGTGTATATAGGTGGGTGTGGAAAACTATGCTGAGCGTGAGAGCGGGCCAATGCTGCTTAGTGGGCCTCCTCTAACGGGGGTTTACGTTACCATATACTACAACTGCAGTAATGTACTTCATTCAACATTCTCTTTGCTTCATTGCACACTTTGTTAAATTCAATACTGCTCATTAATCCTCAACTATAGAGTTTTGAGCGAAAGTGTATAGGACACTTTGGACTTGAAATTGTTGAAAGAATATGCCCTTGAGCTGTGGGCATCGAGTCACATGGAATACCCTGTATAGGCCAGAAACATGTTCTCTTATGAATGATTTTTGATATATTGAAATAAAAGTTGTGGAGATGATTTTGGGTTATTATGTGAGATGTATGTTATATGCTTTTGT